CAATTTGGACATGAAAGCAAAGCTTTGTATGCCAAAGAGCTATATCTATATATACATTTTTCTTAAGTCAGCTACAGTCTGCGTGTTCTCAACTCCCTGGGGGATTTATTCCGTGTTTATTTCTCCTTCGATATCGAATAGATGAGGCCGGATCCTTATCTGGTTCATTTGATGACAGAAATGCTTTTGAGTGCCACGCTGGTAAAACGAAAAACGCTTCGCTCTAGCATTGATTTATATCTACCTTAGGAAACCCACGCGTCTCAGAATGTTTATTTGCATTAGTTAAAATAACATTTTCCTTGTTCCACAAGAGGCTTAGCAGATATAATTTTCATGAGATTAAATCATATTGATAAATTTTTGCGGAGAGAAATGTTTAGACAACGTTTTATAAATAAATTCTATAAGAAATTTGACGTAAGAAAAATCTGTATAAGGAAAAATTTCGTTCTTACTCACGGTGTTCGACTGTGATCGAACTGCTTGGTATGTTTGGAATATATTACATTTTTAACTTTTTTTCCTAAATAAGAATTAATGACGACTCTCTGGAGGGCGTGGAGGTGACATAACAACGGAAGCAGCCACGCAGCCATTTAAGGTCAAATTTAAGGTGTCGCGTATCACAACAGACAGAGATAATATGAGAGGTTGGGCAGTTGACAACCGACTCTCCCAAATCATTGCACGAAACGGTTGGCAGAGTTAGAAGCATATTTCACGATCTTTCGAATCGCGCCATTTATCATTCTTGTTCATTTAGAGGTTTGAATAAGATGAAATACATCCAGAGTTTTTTGATATTACTTTTCCTCCATTGCAACTTCGGATACGAAGGTAAGATTATATTATTTTTGTAGACGTTGGTGATATTCCTAAACGAAGTCAATCTTTTTTTTAAGAATAGCGCATAACAACTAGGAATGTTTAGAATGTTTTACAGTATGGAATGGTCTTGTGATTAAGTAAAAAAAACGTCTCTTTGAAAGAACATTTGGTGAACTAATGCCCATGGTTATCGTCAGATTTACGAATTAAGTTGTCGTTTCTGATGACATTTTATACAGCATTAACTCTCTTAATTCTTAATGATATTGTTACATGGCGAAGTTGCCTAAATAAGTCACCTCCACGTCATCTCCTTTAATTAAAAAATATTCTTGTTTCCCTATATATTTGCCACTGATAGTCTTCCTCTCACCTATTATCAAGTGAAAAGTAAAATATAATTTTCTCAAAGTAAGAAATAAGAGAGAAGGGGACATATTTGAGGACACGATCAGTCTTTTTTTTGTATTCATAATTTCCCGCGTAAAACCGTTAATTAATTTTGTCAACTGTGACAACTACAAAAAAAGATACTTATTTCAGTGTCAAAGTGTTTTCAAAGATAACTCAAAGATTCAAGTGGCTGCTGACTTCAGATTAAACCTATAACAAGAGAAATAAGAGACCATACGATGGATTTGACAACGGTTAATATTCCACTGTGACTGTATCACAAGATTGGCTTCACGGTACAGTCTATAACACTGCTATATATAAAATGAACAAAATTCGATATCAGGTGAATTAATTAAATAAAATTCTCGAATCTTATTTTAAACCACAACTTTTAGAGATGTAAAATTAGTCTACGATAAACTAATGAACGTTCGTTGAGTGATACGATGACTTGACCATTTTTGCTTATAATACTAGAGACATTGCCATTGTTTATTTATCTATTCATTTGCTTATTTATTTATTTTCGGCAATCAAAGAATTATATCGTAAGCACTCCACCAAAGATGTACGTGATTCTCACCGTCACGCACAAGCGGGAAGCAAGACTTCTTATCGATCGCATATTATGGCATAGGTACACTTTATAGAATGAATTCTTATTTTCATTTATAATATAAGTACACTTTGGAAACAGGATTAGAATATATAGACAATTATCGTATCTGCATTCATCCAATAGCGCACTCGTTGTCGAATTTATGTAGTTTGCATCACACAATCCCCGAATTAGTGCAAGATTAATAACGTTTAATAATAGTTAATTACATTAATGGTTTATTCATAATATCTCCATCAAATGAACATGGCTCTTAACCTGTAAATATTTTTTATAACTATAGTAATGATATCCTACCTGTAAAAACATGATTTGCATGTAGTCATAAAATTTTAAAAAATTTTTAAAAAATGATAACAAGTACGAAATGACAAATTGATCGCTGATAAACTTATGGATATGAGGTTTTAATCCTTCGGAGAATCATAAGGATTGATAAAAGAGTTCATATTTAAATGATTCCGACATTATCCAACCTGTTGCAACGATCTTCAAGCCACTGAGCATCGTGGAGAAAACAATAACAGGAGAGGTTGTGCCTTCAAATTTAACGTGATCGCATTTATTATACGCAAACCAGAAAGAATTTCAGTCATCGAATGGCCCATAACCTCAAACCAGTGATGTTTGAGATGTCGAAAGTGAGAGGATACTGAGATATGAAATTGTGGTACTCTAACCACTTGAAACGTCCTGTGAATTTTTTTTCTCTTTTTCTTTGTATTTTTTTCTGTGCAGACCAGCAGCAAATTAAATATGAAACGCTTGGCTGTTTTAAAGACAGCCAAGTCGATCCCAGACCCCTACCTGAATTACTAGCAGACTTAACTAGTGAGGTGGACTGGTACGACCCCAACAAGGTTATAAAGAAGTGTGCAAAGCTGGCGAGTGATAAAGGTTATACCGCGTTTGGTCTTCAGTCGTACGGACAGTGTTGGAGTGGAAAAAAAGCTGCTAAAACATATGACAGTGACGGAGTATCAAGCGGATGTGGAGTAGGTTTAGGAGGCAGGGAAGAGAACATGGTGTTCAAAATCATCCTAGATGGTTAGTTCGTAACCCTATTGAGAATTGAACATGTTTTGGGAAGATTTTAACAAAGGCAGTTTTCTCCATGTATGGCGAACAACGGGACGTGATTTACAAAAATTCACCGATGGAGGTAGATCTCCATCACTGTCATTAATCATTGTTTTGGTCTACACTATACCGGGCCCAAAAAGAATTTAGTTAATTTCTATCAAAATATCAAAGTAGAAGAAAAAAACTCTTGAGGCACGATTTTGTCGCCACGGTTACTTGGAGGTAAATAATACTTGCTGATCACTTCCGAGCTGGCCAATCAGCGCATGAAAAATAAAACTTTGGGACTGTTTGATAAATACTAGACCACACTGGTGAAAGGGCAAAATTATTAGGTAGAACTATTGGGATTGATCGATGTTTCGCTCCGTTTTATATTTTTAAATGGCGGTTCCATATTCTCTACCTGATCCACAGGTACGTGGCAAGGTGTGAGAAGTTGAAGGCTTGGAGTTCGTGTAGTAACATTGGAGAATAGTTTATGTTCATAGTAGTGGCGACAAATTTTGACATAATCTCACAATTTGTGTTGTTTTTTACTTCCAAGAACCTACAACTAAAGTACCAACCACAGAACCTGTAACGATCGCTCTAGGTAGGTTTATTTTATGACTCAGTGTTCTTGCCCGTTGCTCGCAATAAACTTCCAATTAAGAACCTTTCATTACATTTCATTTTCATTTTAATCATTTCATCTTGTTTCATTTCATCTCATAATTTTTTCAAAATCATTCATTCTTTATCATTCATTCATTTTTTTTTCTGCCATGAGGAGTTGATGATAATCCATAGATATTCCTGAAACTAAAAATCCAATCATCAAAGAACAAACATAAGTATAGAGGCTCTCCTTTTCCACGAACCGATGTAGGAAACGTTTAAAGTAAAATTAAAATTTTCAGAGTTCGTTACCTACATTCAAAACTATTAAAATTTCCCGTAAGATAGAATCCGATCCATAAAATATACTCAAATTTGTTCACCTAAAATGTGTTGTTTCAACTGCAGAGTGTCAGAACTACATCACTTTAACTTCTATCAATCGATCTGCAACATTCAATGAGCCATTAGGCTTATGTGATGACAAATTGCAACCAGGATGGTATAAGTTCTCAGGACGTGCTGGGGATAGAATGCCGACTTCGTGTGTCCCTGTACGTCACTGTGGTACCCATGCCCCGGGATGGCTCAACGGTCCTCACCCTGCTGTGCATGAAGGGGCAGTGAGCCGCGACGTGTGCTTTCATTGGAGAAGTTGTTGTTCCTGGCGGAATTCTGTTTTGGTGCGTAACTGTGGGGCGTTCTATGTCTATTTCCTTTCCCCGACAATGACATGTAACTTGGGCTACTGTGGCAATGGGAAAGGTACGGTTAACTAAGGACAGTTGATAGTATTTATCGACCACACCAATCGATGTAAAACCGACTTAACCTTGTCTCTTACTTTTTCTTTGCTCTGTTATCTTCCTAAGGATTCTTATTACAACTTTACCTGGCTCAACAATACCAAACTACTGTATTTTTAATGCATTTTCTGCATAGAAAATACTGTTCCAGCATTCTTCCCTTGCATTTCTTTGCCTTTAACGCCCTTCAGTCAAACGACTCCATAGCTTCTCTGATTAATACATCTTTCGAAATTACCTAGTTCCAGAACCGACAACTCCGCCCAAAGTAACGACAGTTACGACAACTGAACCAGGTAAGATGGAATTTTTTAACATTCATTCAAAACTGAAAGCGTCACTTTGCCAGACTGAGTTAATCAGTTTCGTGAAGCCTAGCCTATGAAATGTGTTACTTCAATCGAAGACTTTTTTCTTCGTAAACCTGTCACTTCTCCTTGAGTGAAAAGAAACCTAAAAGATAAGCAAATGAAAGAGTTTTGGAGAAATGATCTAAGCTGAAGATTATTTGAAAAAGTAAGTCAAGAATTCACTAACAGCTTCGCACTCAATATCAAGTCGTCTTTTCACAGAAACTACAACATCCGCACCGACCACAAAACCAACAACGGGACTAAAAGGTAGACAGATGATCAAAGACTCCTATCGCTGTTATGATTATTGTTTTTGCCATTGTCGTCGCTGATGTTGTTGATTTTGCAATGATTGTTGTTGTTTTTCTTCTTCTTCGCGTAGCTTATTAATTGAACAAAGCATAAGAATGTTTACTGATGAGTTTTACAGTGGTATTCGACTTTCACAGAAAAATTTGAAAGGAATTGTCAATATTAAGGCTTACAGATAAAATTGGCCGATAATTTAGCCAAAGCTATGCTTTTCACGTCAAGTCCTGTTTTTCCACAGAAACTACGACATTTGCACCGACTACTATAACAACAACGGGACCGAAAGGTAAACAGATAATAAAAGACCGCTGTTATTGTTGTTGTTATTGTTGTTGTTGTTGTTGTTGTTTTCCTACCTTTTCTCCTTAGTCCTCTAATTATTCTTCGCGTAGCAAAATGATTGAAAATTAAGGTACACGAATCTTTTCGCTCTTACTTTTTACGCAGCATTAGGCTTCAAAAGACTAAATTAAAAATAAATCTACAAAATCGAGGCTTATTTGATATAACGATCCAAGAATTCCATCAAAGCTTCACATTTTTTGTCAAACGTCTCTTTACACAGAAACTACTACGTTTGCGTCGACCACTAAAACAACAACGGGACAGAAAGGTAAACAGAAAACACAAGAATCTTGTTGTTGTTGTTGTTGTTATTGTTTCCCTTCTTGTTCTTCTTTCCTTTCTTCAACCTCTCGTTGCGTAATAATTCAACAAGGAACGCCAAAGAATCTTTCCGTTAGCCTTAACCCCGGCATTGGGCTTTCAAAGGCTGAATTGCTTCGTACGTTTATTTAATGCTATTTTCAATCACGAATACTTGGTCCGACGAAGTTCCTGAAAAACATTGTCTACAATGGCACTTATGTCTTTTTTTAAATCCTATCATATTTCTGTTGAAAATGTGTTATTACATCCCCATTTTTACAGAAACAACCACCCGGCTGTCAACCACCGAAACTTCGGCTACTTCAGGTAATCTAAAAGAGACATCTTTCCTGAAGTGAACATCATATGTAAACCATCTACGCAGCGTTGATGTTGTTGATGTTGTTGCAATTGAAAAAGAGAGTATGGTTAGAATCATCATCGAGGACATAGAAGAATTTTCAACTTTGTTGAGCGTTGAAAGTAATCCACGATTGCTTTGGTTTCGCTTTACTTCGCTTTTTGATTGGTTAATAGAGTTCACGCCAACCTCTAAACCAATCAGAATCATAACTAAAAGCAATCGCAACTTTTTTTTTCTCTTTTTTCGTTTCTTTAGCTCCGACAACTGGGACGACCTTGATGACAAGTTCTGGTCCAACTTTTCCGACAACTCCTTTAACCCCTTTAGGTACAGCTTACTTTTTTCGCTTGTTTCTTTGTTTACAACACCTGGTTTTTTATCTTTCATAAGAAAGCTACACGTGGTTTTTGCTTTCAGTTATCACTGCGCACTTTGATTCGGGGTTTTTTTCAAAGTCTTATGTTTTTTTTCTTATGTCAATAAGAGTGTCTAAACTACAAATCCCTGAACGAGTCTACCAGAGCTGTAACATATTCAAGCAAGAACCGTCAAGCACTATGTGACAACAGACTGCCAAAAGCCTGGTACAGATTTAGTGGAGGAGCCGGCGACAAGATGCCTGAGCGCTGTGTAGACAAATTTAGCTGTGGAACCCATGCTCCAGGCTGGTTAAGTAAAAGTCATCCTTTAGTAACAGAAGGGGTTGTTGACGCTACAGTTTGTTTTCACTGGGGATCAACCTGCTGTTTTTGGTCATCCCAAGTCAAAGTTCGGAATTGCGGGGGGTTCTATGTTTACCAGTTGAAACAGACTCCTGCCTGCAGCCTTCGTTACTGCGGAAACAGGCAAGGTAGAGAAACAATAACAGAGAAACGCTATGTATGGTTAACCGCAACGATAAAGCCCATGGAACCATAGGAATCAGTTCCATTTACCGGGTTGACTAGATTATTGCTCCTACTAGATGGGGTTCATGGCAGGTTATTGCATCTTATTAACCTACGTATCTCGTGAAGTTTCCTCCTGAAAATTGCCTGGTACCTGACATTTATACCCTTGGTTAGAGGAAGGTTCCGTGAGATTAAATCTTTATGCAAACGAATGCAATACAATTATTTAACCGAAGCTCAAAAGTGAACCTTTTCTTCTGGAGTCCTGGGCGCTAACATCTAGCTAATCAAACTAATACGTCACACATACTTCATAATTCACACAGGCTTTTAGAGGATATGATGCTGGCTCATTATAATAAACACTGATCTTTTACTCAATTCATCTCCTCTCAATCATTCTGAATGATCCCTTAATCCGGAGGTGAACGCCATAACCTTCAAATAATTGTTACTCTCGGAGCTAGATAGTAGTTTATGTTATTTTACACACAATATAACCAAGTCAGTAGGTGTAGTATTGATAACTATATCCGACCTTCTTTGACTGTAATTTGGTGCTATTAACTGGGTTGATAACATAAATTTCCTACCATAGAGAGTTTCTGAAGCTACTGTTTCGAGCGTTTTACCCTCGTCAGAGCTTAGAGTGTGTTAAGCGAAGTAGGCGGCGGGTTTTTTTGGGCTAGCTATGAATCGTTCCCTTTCTTCAATTTTTCGTGTCACTGTTTTACTTTAGAGCCGATGACGAGTACGCCATATCCATCGACGACCAAAGCGCCTACAACCCCTTCACTTCCTCCTGGTAAGTTACCCTTTACACCCTAACATCAGAACGTATATTCTTCATACTCATCTGTATTCATTTCTTAAGGTGCTGACAATGAGAATTTGCTTAAAAATGAAGAGCTTCTTCAGTTGGTGAGCATTTCCTTTATTCTCGTGACCTTAATGTTTGATTCAGGGAAGATATTGTGAGGAGAAACTAGATGCTAATCACTTTTAGGGTAAAGAGTTAACGCGAAGAATATCGTGTACGGTGACGTTTTGGCTATTATTGTACCGAGGTGTGTCCTTACAAGTTGTTATCTTCACGCTTGACATTTGACCTTTTAACCCCTAAGGGTGATTGGAAACTAATTTCTCCTGGGCAGATCGCCCTTGAATCAAACATTAAGGGCTAAAGAAGCTCTTGATCGTTGCACGAATTCACTTAGACAGCTTTTTAGGAAAGATATGTTGAACAGTATGGAGAATATGCTTACTGATGTCAGGGTGGGAAGGGTTAAATTAATACGTTTCTTTGTCTGGTGTCTCGCCAGCGAGCGAAATACCAGAGAACCAACCGTTTGAACTTGAGAATTTATTCTGAAAATCACAGAACGTACACATATCTGTCCTTTCTCTTCTGTTCAAAGAATGTTCCAGATACAAGGTCATTAGTGATGCAGATCGTTCACAAACCTACGAATACAAGAACGTGCAAGACGCCAAGCCCATCTGTGACCGAAGGCTTCCCAAGGCCTGGTACCGGTTCTCAGGATTGGCGGGAGACAAGATGTCAAACGAATGTGTCCCTCCTTATCACTGTGGGACCCATGCCCCCGGATGGCTGCTAGGAGCTCATCCAGAAGTGTCTGACGGAGTCGTAACAAGAACAGTGTGTTTCAGCTGGCGAAACAAATGCTGTAGATGGCGCAGTCAAATCTCAGTCAGAAATTGTGGTGATTTTTATGTGTACAAGTTACAAAGAGCACCGAAATGTAAACTCCGCTATTGTGGTGTTGGAAAACAAGGTACGACAACAACACCAGGGCCAACAACGAACCCGATTCCAACAACAATCGGTAAGTGTGATGTTGTACTGTGTTGTTTAATATTAATGTATACAAAAAGCAGTTATACTTGTCCGTAACAAAACCGAATAAAAACACGTTATGGTGGCGTTTTTTTGTCTTTGTTTGTTCTTACGAAGTAAGCGGATCAGCCGATGAGGGCAAAAGAAAATTACCGAGCAACCGACAAGAACTCGGAGTAAACTCTTCATTTACCGTATTTCTGGCGCGGATAAGCGTGAGTGCGCATGACCTATTAGGAAAGGCGCGACTGCTCTTTGTCTTTCAGGAAGGTCGGGCGTATTTTGTGGGCCAATCACAATCAAAACGAATGTGATGGCGGTTTGCTCGCGACCTTTATTGAAAATTGCTCCGTTGCTGCAAAATGACCAAGTTGCATTTTTTTTCCAAGTACTGCGTACTGGTTCCGTTATCAAGCAGAATAAACAAGGGAAAAAAAAAGGAAAGCGCTTATTTCCAATGTGCGCAAAAATTTTTAAATAACTAAATATCATCACTCCAATACATAGGAAGCCAAAAAGTAGAAGTACACAACTTTAGATGAAAGTTTTATCTAAAATGCACGATAAAATAATAATACAGTTATCATCATTTACGAGCATAACTTTCTTGTGTTGTAAAAATGTGATGTGGTTTGATGGGCAGAATCTTTGAACATCTGAGCATCTTGATTGCTTAGATCAGCTTCTGCAAGTCCTGAATGAGCAAAATGAGATATTCATAGTCTCAGTTAGAGGCGTGTATTGATCTGGCTGGGTTTTAGCAATGCTGTATTGATATAAACAGTTTAAAAATAATTTTCAAACGAAATTACAGGGAACAGGAAAACGGAACTTGTTGAGTGTAACTTAAATTGCATGTTAACAATCGCGTTACGTCAAACTGAAAAAATCCTGAGTGATGTAAATCAGAACTCATTTTCTTTTCCTCCGAGCGTTAAGTCAAGAAATCCAAATGTCAATGACCGAAGTGCTTGGTTGCACCTTCAACAATTATTGTAAACACACCTGTGATCTTATTCAGGACGCTTACCATCTTTCAGCAGAAAGTACAAGTTCTTTTGCAGTTCGTGTATAGGAAAGCTATGTTTCTGACATCTGAACAGTAAGGGACTAAAGCCGCACATATGCGAGGTTTAAGATCGATACAATCTGAAAAAAAAGTTACGTGGAATCATTCGTAGGCCTGCTTTTGTGTCGTTAAAGTTCTAACCTCGAGGCTTAGTTTTTACACTTGAACAACTAATGATGAACCAAAAAAGAAATGGAAACTAACTATTCTGAAACTTTTATAGATATCATCGTTTCAGTGAATGAGCGCAAGGCAACTCTTGTTTTTCGCTTTTATTTGCTGCACACAGCGAACATATCATGTTTAATTTGTTTACCAGAAATTCGCGACCAATTTTCGGGGCCAATTTTCTCCTTGATAAACTAATCCAAGTATATTACAAAGTAATCTTATCTATACATTTAATTTTTTTTACCAAGCAAAAAGTAATGATCTGATTGCTAGGCGAGATGACTAAAGCGTATCAACTTTGGCAGTACGTTAAGAAAAACGGGAAGAAATTAAACTTAAACGTTAAAAATTAAAAGCGTTTAAATGAAAAAAAGAAAGATTAAAGAGAACACACTGCATTACTGTATTCCTTATGGTTTGTTTTCCACGTGTAATCCCACGTGCTAGGCACTTTCCATTAAAAAAAAGAAAAAAAAAAGAGAATTACCATAGTCATCGCTGAGATGTGCAAATTCCTTTTCCTGGATTTCAGCGTTTGAACTGACGTGCTTCGACATAAGAATTATTGCGAAAAGAACTCCAAAGAAAAATTGCATTTGAAACATATCTGAACAGCTATTTGACAAGGTGCAATACAACGGTCAGAATTAGAACTTGAAGTTGAACTGAAGAATAATGCTTTATTTCTTTTATAGTTCATAGGCTTCTCCTGATTGAGATAATATGTACTTTGCGGTAAAGTTGTCTTGTTCACATCGGGCTTGGCAATTTAGATGAAAGAGATTCCGAACACGTGTGGCAGCTGGAAAATAATATTTAATTTTTTATCCAATTTCGCCATAATATCTTTTCTTGTATTTTTCTGAAGTTAATATGGCGTACTCAAACAATCGAACTATATTTTGAAACGATATTTCGCCATAACACAACAAATTTCTTACAAAGGTTTCAAGGGTAACCTTGATGAGATCCCGCCGCCATATTGGTTATTCAAAACCTTATCAAATTTTACATTAGTTTAGATTTTATGTCTATGATTAGATTCATAAAATATGTAAGACATGCGATTTTTCAATTTTGTACCGCTCAACATGATCGAAACTCGATAAAAATTCGCCGCAATCCTGGTGTCCCCCGTCTGCTGATTTGTATTGATAATTACCTACTCCTCTTTAGGGTGATATCAAAATTTGTTTAATGATTGAACCTAGCTTTCTTACAAGTTATGCGGTTTTTGAAACACACGGGAGAATCATATGTCATACAAGGCTGATAAAGAGAGCAAATGCGGTTTTATTTTTCCTTTTATTTTTCCCTCCGTTTGTCCAGCATCTGCCGCAAATAAAGTATTTTGTTTGATTTGAATTTAGATTATAGGCGATATAATTTTAAAAATTAATTCTTTTCAACAACTGTCGATTTCAACACGTTTTGGTGAAACTGTTTTATAATCATAACGTCTCTTCGCGCGAGGAGGTGAAATTATACAGAATATATAAGGAAGATCTGCAAATCTCCTGTCGTGAACAAAAAGTTGCATGTAACTTGCGAGCAGGCCGTCATTATATATTAGCACCGCAGGACGCGCGTGTTTTTCCATCCGCGGAAAGATTGAAGATTTAAGACGAATCGAGGAGAGGTTCGCAGCTGGTCTGGCACTAAAAATTTGCGCTAGATCTCATACCAGCTCGCGTAGCTTAAGGCTTCATACTTTAATTTTCTTCGGTTGAAGACACGCCCGTGTTGAAGCGCTGATAATGAGCCCATGCTCACAGGCTACATAGAGAACACGATCTGTGGAGCTGCCATGCGCAGCTCGGAGTAGAAAAACGATACATTACTTTTCAAACTTGACTCTGCCTTTTTTGTTTTCTGTCATGGCATATTTTATAAAAATTATCATTTTATTAATTTTCTATGTATTTACCTACATACTTCTTTATTTACTTGTTCATTTATTGATTTATTTACTTATCCATACTTTTTTGGCAGCTAAACACCCGTTTATCGTTATATGTATCCCGCAAAGAATGCCACGCAGGGATGAGGCGTTCCCTTACAAATGTAATTACCACCGTCTCGATTCTGTCCAGAATGTGCTGAACAACTTTCAACTGCTCCACAAGCGAAGAGGTGCGGCAGAGAAGCGAGCCCAAGGTGAGTAATGAAGAAAGCTCCACTACTAAAGCTGAAGTTCTTTTAACTCCTCTTGACAATAACGTGGGAGATGCGGAAGTCGTAAGGTTACGCTTGTGATATCACGAAGGAAAAGAGAAAAAGGGAAAAAACTTAAATAATTCATGTACCTTTTATTTCAGCTTACCCTCCTTTCATGGTGATGTGTTTAGTCGACTCTATGCACGTGTTTATTCCACGGAGACATCTGCCTCGCTCAGTGGATCCCTGGCAACTTCGCCTCGATGATGAGCGATGTGGAGTGGCACAAATGAACGATGAGCATGTCATGCTTCAAACACCGCTGGAAGGATGCGGAACAACTCGCAGGTACAATTGTATTTGTACAAGCAATAAAGAGGGGGTCAGAGTCTGTAATCAAAGCGATTTTACTGTTTTGACCAAGATGTAAGAAGTAGTTTTTATTAAGTAAATGGTCCGTCACTCGTTTTGTACTCGTGTACGTTCAAAAGCTCCACCTTGAAAAATTAATTTTTGAGAGCACTCTCTGACAATAGCCGGATGGTGACCACATTTTTCCTCAAAGTCGTATATATTTTCCACACCACAAGTACAAACTTAAAAATGGTGCCATCTGTTTTTTTTCGTTTTGTAGAACCTACGATAAGTCAGTGTCATTCCACAACAAAGTCGTGGCTCAATCTGGAATGGGATTTTTGGATCTGCCGTTCCAATGCAGCTACGAAACTCTTGATTCGGATAAGGACCTTAACCGCTTTGAACCATTCTTCAAGCGAGATGAGCCAGAGACAGGGCCAAATTAAGGTGATTAGTGGCGCCTCCACACAGGGAGGAGCAAACAGTGTGTTAAAGGCTCGTACGATTACAGCAGAGCAAGAGAATTTTTCTAAATATTTCTTTCCAGTTGGGTGAAGGCGGGCAATGCATGACCTAATACTTAGCGCGACGGAGCCACCCCCTCCCCACCCCTCAAAAAAAAAGACAAAGAAAGAAAGTGACCCACATGCTCAGTAACATATAAGATGGTAGTAACTAGTTCAAGTTCACAAATATGACCTTTCTCTTCTACGCGCATATTTCCCTCCTCAGGACCCATTTCGAAATCCCTCGTAAGTACACGAGATCCTCCCCCACTGAGTCGCATTTGTTATGTATTAATTGACAAGTATTCACCGAAAAGGGGGTGAATAGTGGTGGATATTTACCGAACCTTAAAGCGGCGAGGTAAATATCCAGATTAAAATACACTGATGTGAAAAATTGTTTCAGTATATGTCACACAAATACCCGAAAAATAGTCGGAAATTTAACTCTTGACGTAAACAGTATCTGATATTCACTTCCGAACTAGCCAATCAGCATGCGCGAAAAACCCCAATTCACTGGTATGGTATTAACTAACAACAAATAATTGTTTTTTCAGGCCTCGACTCTACACCGATGAAAAAATAAAAAATCCTGTTGTTATACAGTTACTAGAGTTACCCTTAAAACATGTAAAGAGATTTTATGGATAACAATATTATAGAAAAAACTGTGAATAAATGACATCAGAGATTTCCCGCTATGCTAGACACGGGCATTCAAGTTATATGTATTATTTAGACATTTTTAAGTACTTTTAGTCATGGTTTTTCGCCGAGTTTTGTTGCTACTGTAAGTAATATCATAAAGGAATATCATTCTCGCGTTGGTAGAAGTTTGTTTACCAATAAAGACAATAACAAAGTTGTACGGTTTCGTGTTTGTGAAAACGTTACAAACGTCTCCATCGCGGCACATGCCTAATAAGAATTGCACTGTTTCAGTCTCTGAGTCAGTGGAGACGAAACTTCTTTATTCAATTTTTCCAAAAAGTCCGCTGATAAGAGATGATTTTAAACTCACTATTCCTATTCCGACCATAACATTTCAGATTACAACACGACATTCTTCTAAATTTGGGGAGCTTTAAAAAAAATATTAACGATTTAAATAAGAAACTATACCTTTTAAGTATTTATATTACCTGTATTCCTACCTCATTTTCTAAAATAGCAGAGTTACGCATCTATTCAATTTTATGTCGCATTAGTCCTAACAATTGTGGTGAAAATTTCAATTTTCAGGCCTTGACTCTATTCCAATTCTGCGTGGTCCAGTTACGCTTTCATTATGATTAATTATACGGACGTGTAATTTTGGGATAACTGGATGATAGCAAGAGGTAGTGAGGGTATCTCTTGTCATAAAGGGATTTCATCTTCAAACACCTTAGGAATACAAAAAATACGTTTGGTAACAACACATAACAGGGATGAATAATAGTCGAGAGGATCTTTGAAGGTGAAATTTAAATCAAAGGTATCGATTGATATCCCGGGCGTCTGCAGCAATTTGGGGGTTCAGCTTACAATCATGAAGGTGAATGTTGATCGCAGGGATTCACAAATGACCGGAGAGAGAGAGAGAGAGAGAGAGAGAGAGAGAGAGAGAGAGAGAGAGAGAGGGAGAGAGAGAGAGAGAGAGTTGAATTGAATTGAATGAGAGTTGAATTGAAAATCATGGGGAAATATGATTTCCGGGGGTGTTAATAATCAACAGGGGAATCAAGTGATAATCTCGGGACCACGAGGCCAGTCGAGACTCGCGCACAGAACCAGTGTCTCTCTCGTGTGTTCACTTGTTCAATGTGTTCTCTATGTACTCGTCCACAGCCTCTTCCAGCGTGTCAAGGCCCATTGGTCCAGCCGACAGAAAAACGTGGTGATAATCTTTAATATCAAATTTATCACCTGAAATAAACAAAAAAAGCATATACCGTTTAGGTGTTGTATTTAAGGGCGGGTATGTAACAAAGTGAGGGGCAGACATTTCATCATATACGCTCAAAGGGATACGAGACCTACTCGAAGATAGGTACTAAATCGATTTATTGCGGTTACAGACTCAGCGCTCTCACTCCTAGGAGTAATCCCTCGATAAATTCTACTAACAGTTTTAATAGACTGCAAACCAGACCGGTGGTAAGAGATAAAGAAAAATCGATTAGGCTCGATTATCTACTGCTATTCAGGAAATGCTTACGCGCTCCCTCTACTTCGATCCAGATAGTTAGCTCTCAGATCTTGAAAGCAATATGGTTCTCCGGGAGGTTTACTATAGCTGAAGTTTCATACCCAGTTTCTGTTCTGCTTTCCTTCGCAGTTCCCTGATCTTGATTTCACCCACTTTGTAAGCGCACGCCTGCAACAAAGTATCCACAAATAATACAATAAGCGACTTACGAGCAAAGAAAAATGATATTACTATACGTTTAACTGGAGTATCCTGGAACGTTGAAGACTCCAAAGGAAGGACTAGTTTTAGTTTAAAGCCTTCAGTGTATCTCAAATGTACAGAAAGATTATTTACGAGGCAGTGCTAGGAGATATGACATACCTGACCAGGCCATATGATGTATCGATCAATTTCTGTGTTCACATTATGAAAAGACATGGCAGTATTTTCCACCATAAAATCTACTGCCTGTTGTCGACTCCAGCTAAAATGTGAGAAAATCAAACGGTGGCGTTATCATGGTTAAAACTGACTAGAAAACCACAGCACCGATAGTAAATTAGCGCAATTTCCTGCGCGAGCTCATTGAAGTTTCATCTCTTGCTTATTTGAACAACAATTTCCGACCAGCCAAAATATTTGAGCTACAACAGTGGCCAATTTATGTTATCAACTCGATGAGAATACTTAATTACCCTATTATACTCTCCCACCGACGCAACACCACAGTTTCTTTAGAAACTAACCCCTCTTATTTTACCTACTGTCTGTGTATTTGTTTACTTGTTTCGTTCGTATTCATGCTCATTCATCCGTTGGTCCGTTCATTAAGTTTGCTTGCCTAATGCTCTGCTCGTCAGTCTCAACCGTTAGTCCATTTAACTTTCAAATTTTTTTTTTATTGATTTCTTACCCGAAGGCGTGCATTCCGGTATCGACGACTAACCGACACGCTCGGAGAATTTCGGTAGACAATCGGCCGAACCTTAAACAAATCATCAGGATGACGTCAGTTCCGAGTAACATTATTCTACATATTTTACATGAAGTAGAATTCTTAATAGTTTAGTAGCTATGATTCAATGTTCTGAAGTAACGTTCATGCAGTGTGAGCATAATTCGCCTACTTCTCCAGGTAACATTATAATTACTGAACAATCACAGTCTACTTACAGGTCGTACGGATCTTGGTACAAACCCATCTCCTCACCAAGAAACTCACAGTACAAGCCCCAACCCTGAAAATCAAAAGCCGCAATTTCAGTTCAAAGATAAGATAACCATAAAGTTAACAGCCGCGTTTGTCCGCCAAGATTTCGCGCCCTATACTTGAGACAGCGATTGTGTATGTAAAATGACAATGAGCTTTGATGAAGAGCTCTTTTCGATTGAGTGTCGTCAAACCAAAACCATTGTAATCTCAATGGCAAACCAGAAACAGGGAAAAGAGCCTCTGAGAACTCACAGGCAAGCTAACCAAAGCGCGGGAAAACGCATGTAATCAAAACGCGGGAAAACGCAGGTAACCAAAGCGCGGGAAGACGCAAGTAACCAAGTCGCGATTGGTTTTGGTTTTGCATCTGATTGGTTGAGAAAGTGACGCGAGTTTTCTGGACCAATTACAAAGAGAAATAAAGCAAAACCAAAGAAACCCGGGATTATATTCGACACTTAACTGAAAATTGCAGTAGGAGACAATAACAAGGTAAAGGAAAACCGGTTTCATCACTGCATATTAGATACCTCCATGTAAGCGGTGTGCATAGCAAAACGTGCTGGTACTTCATAGTACCTCCTGTCTTCCACATAACGCCTGAAAGATGGTTGTTCCTCCTGCTCCATTGCAAACGCGGTCTGAAACGAAAATATGTTTTTCAGTTGAGTCTCCACGAAATAGATAATCAATGCAAAATGGCTTGCACAGTTTTAAGTTAGAAATTATGCAATTGCTCACAACTACAACTGTTAACAGCTTTAAAAAGCCCAACCCTCTAGCCTATAATAATAAATAGCATATAATTTCTCCTTAAAATATTACTCCTGAATCACACATTAAGGTCAGGAGAATAAGGGAAATGATCACCAACTGAAGAAGCTCTTGATTGTTAAACGCATTCTCCTTGTCAACACCTTGGGAAATATATAGAGAATGGTATGGAGAATATACATACTGATGTTAGGGTGTAAAGGGTTAAAAGAACTCCTAAAAACATCTTGTATTACGCAGACAAGCGCTAAAATAGTGAAAGTGGAATATACGAAAACGACGAGTTGAAACACTCGAGGCATTTTTCTTTCTAGACATACAAACCATGACGTCGCTCATCTACCCCTTTCGCTCAAAAAAAAAAATATCCACACTCCAAACAGTCCGCCATGCATTTCTCAAAATTTTCTCTGAGCGAAGTTGGTCTTACATCAAACAATGTCTCGTAGATTGTATTTTTGTCTCTTCTCATCACCTTTTCGCTTAAAGATGTATCGATATTGTAGGAAGAAATTCCTTTTTGGTCATTCCTGGGAGTAAAAGGGTTAAAACATAGTTTAAAAAGGGAGTATAATAAACGCATGGATTTCTCAAAAACGTTTTCCCACTATTTTAAAGGTCCCTTGTGTCGCACATCACATCCCTTTCTTGTACTTACTTGTAAGTGATGTCCTGGTACTGCCTCGTGTAGGGCAAGAGACACCATCTCATATTTAGGTCTGAAAGGGAACACGAAAAATATTCATACACCGATGCAAGAAAGAAGTCAGACGCGCGAGGCGAAGGGAGAGTATCCGCTCTCCCGTGCGGGCGTATTATTTGAGATCTCAACAAGTGCCTGCTTTGCCATGCAAAAGGCCACGTTTCAGATGAATATTAGGGTAAGCCTTTTTTTTCTAAAAAGAATGGTCTTCGTTTCTCTAGTTTCACCAAGCTTCCCGGCACAAAAGTCGTGAACTACGACTCTATGTAACAGCAATTAAAGGAGCGTCTCATAATAACTAAACTCAAAACAGATGGCAGAGGACAGACCGCATTTTCTCAGAAACCTACCCGCTAAAGCAGAAGAAACATGTACACAGCCACGTAGCAAAGATGAGCACAAAATGAAAAACAGTGAAAACAAAACTCGCACAGCATTTATTCTTACCCCAAAATGAGAAAGCTTATGTTCATGTTTGTGGACATACTACCTTGTATGGTGTTTGTAAGTGTTCACCATAAACACCCCCGGCCTTGTACCATCTTCAGAAGGACCCAGATAGTAAGCAGCAGGGGCCACAGGGGCCGCATCAGCTGGCGTCTCAATAATCCTGCAAGTTATGAAAATCAACGGGCAGAATGTAATCACACAATTAATTACAAGCAAGAAATATAAAGGCGGTCGCGATAAGTAAGAGAAGGATAGCCTACTGACCTTTGGAAAACTAGCTTTTGTGAGTCTCAGAAATGAAAACTTCGACTTTCATACGCGAATTCAAGATTATAGATTTGTGAATGAGAACTCAAGGTAAAGCGAGAGCGTGACATAGGTTTTCTGCACCAATCTTTTGATACCAAATTGAAAATTACTCTGAATTTACGAAAAAACTTCTGGAAGTACCGGAAAGGCTTACTCAAATGGCATCTTTGGCATTTCTTTGAAGTAAACATTCAACTTTGGCTCGATAACCTTCGCACATAAATCTTTATAACCTTTCAGTAGTTCTTCCTGCAAGGAAAACGATGACAAAAAGCAATGACCTTTAGTTAGTTTAGATTTTGTTCTTTTCTCCCCATTTTCAGTACCCACATAACATTACCTTCGTATCAAAATAAAAACGCTTCTCTGTTCTCAGCATATCGAGAAATTCTTTAAAGCTGCCTTGAAAACCCACTTCCTTGATAATCTAAGGAAAAAGAAAACGGCCTGAAATGTCAACTTAGAGGGAAACTTCTATTCTACCAAACAAAAGCCAATAAATAATTCAAGCTTGAAGTCGATCAACGGTAGATTAAAACAACTCCAACGAGGCAAAAATTATGACCGTTACTAAATCGAATAGTGTCGAAGGGGAACGGCATCTTAAACCGATCGACACCATTTAAAAATGTAGTCTCCTCGGTTCGCAGGCAATGGAAAACCCCAACACTATTTTTTAAGACATAGCACGAAATGTTTGTATCGTAGGTGGAATTGTCAAATCTGGTATATTCCAACATTTATTTCATTCAAATAACTATCTTCCAAACGTTTATTTCGGTTTGGTTTCTTTTAAACTCTCATCAGTGTGGCGACACGAGCGGGGAAGCCTGAGGGTTTCGAGCCCGTGAGGGAAGTGAGCGTGCGAAGGGTCTCCGTTGGGTCTACGAGGGGTTCTCGAGGGGTCTACGAGGTCTCCGAGGGGCTTACGAGGAGTTTACGAGGAGTCTACGAGAGATTTCCGAAGGGTCTACACGGGATCTACGAGGAGTCTACGAGAGATCTACGAGGGATCTGCGAGGGCTCGAATCTCGCGGATCTCGCCGCACGAGACACGGGATTTTCTTACCTCATCCATTCTGGATCTTATTCTTATAACTTCTTTTTGACCAAGATCGTGGACTTCCTTCGCTGACATGTCACATGCAATGTGGAACTTTAAGGCCTGGATAAGAAGTGTTGACAATAAACAATCACGGCAATCTCTGGCCATTATATTTTTAGAGCAAGAACAGCCCGAAGCCCGCAGGAACGTAAGTAACGCGCGCGAAAAAGCATCACACAAGAGAGAAAGCCGACGGTCACGTAACTTTTCACTTTCTCGTATCGATGTAAGTGCCTTTGGGGGGAAGGTGGGGGATAAGAGGTTTTTTCCCAGAAATCTTCTCCTTGAAGTACTGTCTTTAACCCTCGCACGTCAAAACACCTTTTTTTATTATTTACCTGTGTGTAAAAGTCATCTCCACCTGGAAAATGAGTGCATGAAATGGACTCCCTTGTATGAGGAAGATACTTCTGCAGAAAAAAAAAACCCAAAAATTGGAAAAAAGTCTAGTTAAGTAAAACTGAATGGTACGTTTTAACTTTGGTGCTGTAATTGGTCAGTTTGGGTAGTCAGTAAAAGTCGGTCGTTCTGTTCGGGTCGGCCATTGAATTATGTTTATTGAAAATGCAGTAATCCAAAACAATAAAACACTATCTTAACAATAATTATGAAAAATCGCGCTTGTGATGAGCTTGCACAAAATATATTCGTAAAATACTTTTCAATGATTTACTTACTTCCACATAATAATCATGAATCTTTTTAAAAGCTGGCTTGACTTTCTCCTCTATTAGTTTCAGACCACGCCCTCTAAACAATTCCCTATAAAACAGCTTAGGGCTAAATAACTCTACAAATGAATTTTAAGCAAATATATGAACTATCAACAAGCACAATTATCGAATGAATGTTTTGTTCAGTTTAACTATCCTTATAAACTAGTGACTGCACTACTTTAACCACACACATTGGTAAATTGAATCAATTACCTCTCTTTCTCTGTAAATGTTTCTGGAAACTTTTTCAGTGGTTTAGAGAGATCATCATCATCTGTGAAGTCTGCATTCAACACTTTTTGGATTTGATCAGGCACATGTATCTAAAAACGACAAAAATGCACAATAAAATCAAAACATAACCTTCTATAACTATGCATGTACTATGAGATTTTTTGTTTCAGACATTTTCCCATTAGAGTAGTTTTAATAGAATAGAGAATTCATAACTTTCAAAGCTTTTTTTACTACTGCAGTAGTATTTTCTCCTCAAAGGTTTCAGAACATCACAGACACATACATGTGTTGCACATAATATATTTTTTTTCATACATGTATTGCACACATATTTTTTCTGTGATGATCAGAACATAGCTCTAGTAATTGTTACTTCAATAGTTGTTGTTCAAAAAAGAAAAAAAGGTCTCACCACAGTTAACCGTGGTGGTATATGGTGTGTCCTAACTCCCTCTTCAAGTAATCCAATTATTTCAGATACCTACAGCAATGATAAAATGTAGTTGAGTCCTTGAAAAAACTGAATTCATAGCAAAAGTGTGGTAACTCAAAGTTCTTTTGTTATTTGTAGCTAACAGTTGTACATGTACCTGAGTGGGGAAAGCTTCTAGTCTTGACAGGTACTTTTCATAGTCATCTTTTGTTTCAAACTTCATCCAAGAAATCAATCTTCCAAATTCTAGCTGAGGTCCTTCCAAATTTATCACAGGGAACAGGAAGCTGAAAAGGTTATGCAACAAAAGATGCAGTGGTTAGAGTTTTCTGGAACACATTTGATACTCCTGATCAGAAAGAAGCACTGTGACAGTAAAGGGTCTGGTCCATGGACACAACATTGCATTGAGATGGTCATGAATCCAGCTCAATATATTCCAATGCATTGGCATCTGCATTACAACCTACAGAACAACCTTGTAATAAAATTCAACAGGTCTGCGCAGAGCTGTTTCTCAGGTTCTGCTTGAGATAGGCCAGTACTCAGTAAAGGAAATATAGAGTGCTCTACACATTCAGGCAATTACCTATGGGAAGGTGAAGGTGCCTTGGATCTCTTGAGACTCCCACATTTCTTGCCAGATCCCAGCTACACCATTCCCATGGGTGGCAAATTAGTGCAACCCAGCCATGATTACTCATTTCAGGCAACCATCAACATTCATGATTGGATCACTAGAAGAAAGATGGGAGGGTGGGATAAGGAATGCTTGAGAGTAGCAAACTGCTCAAGATTCGAGAAAACAATCCCTAAAAAAACTGCTTGAGAACTCAAAGATTCTGCCAAAATGATTAGTAGTATTTCATATGAACATACTCCACTGATTGAAGTGAGCCTGCTAAAACTGTACATGTGAACATCAACCAACCTCTTGTGGCCACAGCCATCTAAATATGTCTGGATTTCTCTTTCAAGAAGTTTTACATTCAAAGCATCAGTCTGGAAACAAATAAATATGCAAAACAAACATTGGCTGAGACAAATGGCTTTAACATGAACAATTCTTGAATGTAGAAACTTTACAGTATAATGAACAGAATGACATACATATTTATATAAATGAAGGAAAGTACCCTCCACACCCCCTGCCTCAAAAACTTCCCTCACAAAACAGCCCCTAACATCAAAAGCAGAGAAAATGAAACATTCAGTATTACCTTTGGAAGCTCAGATTTCCCTAATACACTCAAGTTTTTCAAAAACTCTTTGCAATCATCCTATGATTAAGAAAGAGATCAACATCTAAATATACTTTTTTAAATAGAGAAAAAATAAAAAAGAAAAAAATTCAGTACCTAATAACTTTAAAAAGAATTACCTAACAACAAATACTAAGTAATCCACAAGTATTGAAATACATTCTATTTATTTCTATAGGAACTCTTTCAAATAAGTCATGTACCCCATTCTAACCTTTCCTGGCCTAGATTCCTGAGCCTGTAATGATTGTCGACTGAAGCAAATATTCAATAATGCTGATTTCTCCTCAGATATAGCACTCATCTTTAACCCTTTAACTCCCATGAGTGACCAATATAATCCAGACTCAACAATAAGTCAGACTCAGAATTCACCATATTAACCAATAGCTTAATAACTTTATTACACACATTTTGAAATCACTGGTGGTCTCTGTAATCTGATTGGCTCTAATTAGTGTGATTTATTCATGAATTGCACCATTATTTGCTTTAAATCGCATCTTTTTCCCAGCCAATGAGGAGGCTACACTAAAAATAAAACAACCAATCAGATTTCAAAGCTTGTTTAAAGTAACCAATCAAACTGCAGGAAAATAAAAGACAAAGAGTATCATTGCAAATTTTGCAACTTTTGTTTCCAAAGCTCTTATTTTTTCCCCCCCAAAAATGGATGAATTTAATTTCAAACCAGCTCAGTACTGCATCAATAAAATATTTGAACTGACCAATTCCTGTATTCTAGTGATTTAAAAATGGATGTAGTAAAGTGGCAATTGAACCTCTTGTCATGCAATTTTGGTCTGAAATCATATTTGTGATTTCAAATCAAATGAGTGCTGTGCGCTTGTTCAATTTTTAAATCATGCATATGATTTCAGCCCAAATTGCCTTCCACTCAGTTCAATTACCATTATTAATCACTCAATAAATCACATCCTTTAATTATCAAATCATTTGTCCTGTTTATATGTTTTTGTTTCTTTTGTTGTAGGAAAGAGGGGACGAGGGCAATGTCCTATCTGTAAACTGAATTGGGTAAAATTTCCACACAGCCCCATACTACTGTAAAACAAATCTCTTTTCCTAATGGCAATCTATTGTTTTTGTCATTGTTTTCTCTATCCAAGAACTGAATGCATAATGTAGTATGGGGCTGTGCAGAAATTCTACCCTGAATTGTAATGTTCAATTTGAACTGATTCAGTAATAAATGTGTGAAGTTCCAACAGACAGCTGTTCTTCAATAGCCTTAAATACTATACTATTTCATGAGTGTTGTGATTGCTGTCCTATTCAGCTTTTGTAAATAGGTTTCAGATTCTCTCTGTTTGCGGAGGTGGAAATGAAGTTCAGTAAAATCCATTTTTTTGAAAAAAATTAAGAGGCAATAAAATCGCGAAAATACTGAAGATAATCACACAGGTTTTACGCTTTTTAGCTTCAATCTACACGCGATAAACGTAGTTTTTAAAAAATTATACTTCGACTCCAATCAATAATCGATTATTTATTCCAAAAGTCGAAGGTCATTTTGTGCACCCGGAGAAGTGAAACTACTGTTGTTTGGACTTTTCAGCTTTCAGAAAATCATGTGATATTAACAACAATCGAATGCAGTACCTGTCTTTTGACATACGCCTCCAAACTGTGACAATCCAATTTGTTATCGTAAGTGTGCACGCCAATTTGAGTGGCGAATTCTGGGCTCTCTCGTAAACGCCACTCCCAAAATGATCTCAAAATACCCTCCACCTCAGCTGACATTGTTACATTAGCAGTAAATATAGAACTATTGATTGTTTGAAAAGTCTAAAGTACGAATAAAACGAAAAAGTACTGCAGAGGAGAGCAGATCATCGGCCAGAGGTTTTCACTAGTTAGAGAGAAACCGTGACACGTACACCGGCAAAGTCACCTGGGAAGTTGCTGTTTACCTGTATTCGACACTAGCCGGCGGTATTCAGTCACACAGTCACACAAGTGGAATATGGCTAACACTGATAACATAAATGAATGTATGACAAACGACGGTTTGAATGGGAAATCGAGCTCAGGAGAAAGTCTTAAATTTGTAAAGAAGCTGTACATACACGGAGGAAACATTTCCAATTGGAATAGAATCAAAAGGAAAACCACCCCAAGTTCTGCGGATGAAGTAAGTTTGATCATCGATGTTAGCGGTAACAATATAACGTGGCTCAGGAAAAGATAAGTTATAAATTATTCGTCTTCTTGTTGAAAAAGGGCATTTTTTCACCTTTCGAAAGCTTGAAGTCCATTTTTCTCTCCCACACAAACGTAAAAAGTTTTAAAGCTTTTCTCGCTGAGTCACCGTCATTCAATGGGCGTTTCGCTTAAATCGTCCATCTGCGCGAGAAACTTAGATGAACAAGTGAACTAATCCTCTATTAATGCACTAAACGATCGCGGTATTTATGAATTTTTTTCAAATTTGTTATTCTTGTATGGGCTCTGAATTGCAAAAAGTTCTTTTCATCCTAAGCTCCTGATGATTTTTGTTTAGGTGTAGAGGATGAGGTCATGAAACATGAAATTCACCTGATCGTGACAAAGCAACTTCTGCCGACAAGCCCTGGGCTTTAACCAATTTACAAAAAGATATTCTCGCCTTCATTTACTTTTCGAACAAAAGAATCAGTTTTTTGCTTTCGAGAAAGCGATAGTCAAATTTACTGTCGTTCCAAATTTATTCGACAAGTTTTCTGTTTAAATTGTTTTCGTATCTTAGCTCAGCTAAACAAGTCAAGGTGAACGTGATTTCGTGAGTCAGCTATGCAGAAACATGTAAGTGTTCACAACTGAGTTGAAAATGTAAATTGGCCACCGTGAAGAGTTTAAAGGTGTTAGCCCTCCGTCAGAACGATTGGAGAAATTGTGTGTTGTGTGTGGGTTTATATGCAGAAAGTGGAGCTACCCTATTGGTGGGAATATGGTGACGAGTAAACAAGAATGAATTAGGTGTATGAAAAGCGCTCATTGATAGCATGGGTTAATTCCCACGGTATCAACGAGTGCTTTTTCTTCACCTAATTTATTCTTGTTTACTCATTCCCATATTCCCATCAATAGGGTAGCTCCATTTTCTACATAATTATAAACCCACACACAACCCACAATTCCTTCAGTCGCTCTGACAAAGGGCTAATGCTCGAAACGTCAGCCTTTAAACTCTTTGCGGAGGCCAGTTTACGTTTTCAACTCAGTTGTTAACACTAAATTACCCGCTATACTCTCCCACCAATGCAGCACCACACTTTCTTTAGAAACTTAACCCCTGTATTCACTTGCAGAAACATGTCAGCTTTAGTCAACATCAATGCAATTTTGAAAATAAATTGAAGAAATGATTAGTGCAATCAACTAACAGTTTGCAAACACATGTGTAGGAATTCTTTAACTCTTGCTCCCCTTAACTTAAATTTAAAAAGGGAAACATAATGCGAAATCCCAGCTTGATAATATCGCAATTTCTTGTATTAAGTTGTGTACTTAGTTGCCAAGCCTTTGATTTGGAGTGAGGCTGAAGTTGACCACGTTGACAGTGATAGAGCCTAGTATCTAGTTAGTACGATAAGGAAGTCATTTACTATTGAAAAGAAGCATGGTTTGTATCATAACTGCTCTGTTACAAAATTAACTGCATATTTTTCATCACAGCTTTCAGAGAGCATTGGAACAACGTTGAACAGTTTGCTTCCCACAAACAACAATGATCAAGAATTTGTTCCAGTAAGTTGAATTAAGTGTGTCTAGGTTAAGTTAACCTTTGTATTTTGTGCAAGTGTTTGATGTAGTGCCCCCCTTAAGGTATTACCCCTAACTTTGGAATAAGAATTTCAGGGTTTAGTCTGTAGATCATTATTTGGTTACCTTGTCACCCTGAGAAATTATGGTTACATTTTGATACAAAACTTTCCATTTTGCATTTTAGCAAAAGGCCTTAAGATGTATAAACAAAAAATTTGTGGAGAAAATAGAACGAGGAGAAAGGGAACATCTCAAAATTTCAGGTATGTCTAAGCACGTATGGAAGTTGTTTTGCTCCCACTGTAAGCACTGGGAGAAGAGGACAGATGATGGGCTTATAATTTTCATCTGAGCTGTCACCCAGAAATAATAGATACCCTATACTATGTTTCTGTTTTGTCTAGAACTAACTCTGTCCATTTATTTCAATTGGAACAAAACTTATTAATATTCATGACAAGAACTCAGACATTTACATTTCTTTAACCTTGCTCGGAGAAATAAGTACATTGTTATCTTCTCAACTTTGTATTTCTTACAATACCTGTCATATAAAGGGAGTATTTAAGTTGTCTTAGTCATGCATTCACTGTATTCTGGTGTTGTAACATTTCAATCTTGTATTGTTACTTGCTCTTGATAAAAAAATATTTGCATTGTTTACATTTTTCTTCATTAGTATACATGTTTTCATGGAAAAACACACAAAATTATTTCAAAAGTTGAATAGCATGATGACTTAGAGTTTGAAACATATAAAACACTAAAACTTTCTGGGTGCTAATACCAATGATCACATGCATTCTTTGTGATACTTTCTTATTTTTTAACATCTTCTGGCTGATTGAATTTTAGATGTATCAGACTGGACATTTCAAAGAAGGGTATAAGATATGTCCTATGCTTCAATAATTTGGTAGCAACATTTTTGTAGCTTGATAGGAAACTGTAGAGCTTATGCCAATGAGCCAAAAAATGTAAACAAAGATTCCCTCACATGCTTATCTTTGGTTGAAGACCCATCATATTTCCAATGAAACTGATAGTGTATTTGCAAGCTTTAGTATCTTTTCAAATAGAACACTTGTCAAAAGTTTCAATCTCACAAAATTGAAGATATATTTTAAAACTTGGGAAATGATCAATATGATATCTTTATTGGTTTTGTCTCTTATTTTATCCATCAGTGAAGATATTTGCCATTGAACTAAACCCTGCCTTTGTCCAAGATGCATTATTTAGAGGTGAGACTGATAATATGCATGTCAATGATTCTTTACATCCAGTGTAGTGCGCATTATTGGCAGGAGATGAGGTTAAAACCACAAAAAATTATATAGTGAAAAGGAAATAACACGAAGACAAGTGTTTGCCAGCAGATTCCATTATTGTGTGAATGGCCTCAAGCAAAAATGATAGTCTGCAATGGCATTTCTCCTCCCTTTTTAAAATATCAAAACTGACTGATTCCTGTTATGAGCCTTTGCTGTACAAGAAAAATTTTATTTTAGAGAGAAGTCCAGCTTAGTTTGAAGTGCAATATTTTCATCTTGGGCTAATACATTTTAAGGGCAAGCAAATTTTGTTTCTGACTTGCCCATAACACACTAGTCAAATTGGATTTTAGATTTTCTCCTGCACTCCACAGAGGCTGTTTGTCCAACAGCCAAAACTGTATGTACCATATGCAGTTTTTGCTAAGATCTGGTATTATTTGCCAAAATGCAATATTGTGTTTTATCATGATTATTAACACTGATTAACAATTATATCAAATTTCTTTGACATAACTTTTAAAACTTAAATTTTTTTTCCTATAGCCATGTGTGAATTGGGAATTGATTTTGTGGAAACATTGATTTTGGCATTGCCTGAAATTCCAGATGATGAGCAGCTCTCAACTCTAAAAGGTTTCTGGGAGGTATGTTTTTAAAAAAAAGACAGATACCAGATTATTAATATTTTGTGCAATTACATGATTGTATATTGGCAGATCACTCTGAACTTTATTTACTGTGTGTGCACTTCTCACATGCTTCTTAGACATGTACCAGGCAATAATTTCCAGTATAAGATTTTGAGTTTGATACATTTTAATCACTAAATCATAATCATTATATAGGAAATGGAGGTTTTGATGGACAGTGGATATGTGCGCAGTCTGGGTGTCTGTGACTTGGACAAGAATGCACTGGAAAAACTTTATGAATGGGCAAGGGTATGTTTTCACACCTTGTGTTACACTGTACATTAAACAAGTTTTTTCAGCAGAAATTTTTAGACCTTTAGCATTTTCACCACATTGGCCAAGTATACTTGCTGGGTCCGTGATACTTGATGACCTGTACTGTCTCATGATGTAACTCATATTTCATCCAATTTGTATTTTTGCCACTGCTAGTTTAAATTTCATGCTTGAAATTCTGGGTAAAAAAAAACTTTAAGCTTCAAATAAAAAAATTCCACCCACTGCAACCTAAACACTTGCATAGTTTATGTACACTGGCACATATGGATATATATAATCCTCTTGCTAACTGCTGCTTATTGTTTTTTGTTTCTTTTCAGATCAAACCTGAAATCAATCAAGTTAATCTTGCTTCATGTTGTGTCATGCCAAAGGTATGAGCTTGTTGGTGCAATCAAATTATGTAACTTATCCATATACTTAATCCATATACTTGTTGTGTCATGCCAAAGGTATAAGCTTGTTTTTAAAATCAAAAATTGTTAAATTCAAATTGTATAATAATATAAATGCTCTGATTTTTTTAGCATTTTGTTTGGTTACTTTACTGTAATTTGTTGGTGTAGGTTTTGTTTCTCAAAATTTGTCCTGTTTGTGTTGTTTCATGTCTAATAATACCTGTATATGAGGACGCAAAAAATATCACTGCTGAGCTAAGCTGCTCAATCCAATCAATTTAAGTTTAATTAGACCTCCCCTTTTGGGAGATGGATTTTGCATATCACACCGTTATGTTTGCCATGCACCAATTGGCTCTGTGGGACATTTTTACAGTTTAAAATTAGATTCCCTGACTCATACAGGAAGCTGCCAGAATTTTTGACAGAATTAGATATATGTATATCACAATGGAAGAAAAACAAGTGGAATTTTTTATCCAATTCATTTTTTGAATCTTAAATACTTAAATCTTCAATAAAGAACTGTATAAAAACCCCATTCGTCATCTCCTCCATTGAGACATACTTACATGTATATTCAATTCAACTAAAAACTGAAACGGGGAGACTGGGTACCTGTCATTCATGTAACATGTTTTGAATTGTATCCTTTAGGAGCTTGTAGACTTTAGTGATAAACATGACATCCAGCTCCTGACACATGCTGATCCAAAAGGTACTGAAAACTGATCCAAAACTTTTCGTTGAAATCATTGTTGGACACCAAAATTCTTGCAATTACAAGGGGTGACATATTACACCTTATCTTGAAGTATTTAAATTTTACTTGTCTTCCTTAGCTTATTCAGGATACATAGTGCACCGAAAAAGAAAACATATGTTTGTCATACCAAGCTCAAAATTAACCATCTTTCTAATTTTGTTCTTATTTTTTGGTATAATTACCAGCACTGAATGAACAAGCTCTGTAGTTAAGGCTAGCGTGGGAATTTAATCCCTTTTTAAATCCAAGACTCAAAAATTCATCCTTCGGTACCTCTTTTCAGATATCCTGACCAAGGGGAGACTCGAAGAGGTGCTGAGAGAGAGCTACGAAAATGTACCGGTCCAAGGATGGAGACCTGCGTGGGCTCTGAGGTATTCAGTGCTGGTTAAATGTCGTGGAGTTATAAAGAACAAAGGGTAGGTTGAAAAATTCATGATGCTGTGATCTCCTAACTGTTCCCTGTCTGAATTACATGCGCTCAGCCGCGGATTGAGTATATTTAGGTAGATTATTAGGAAATGATCACTAACTTACGAAGTTCCTGATTATTAAATAAATTCTCCTTTTCAGCACCCTAGAAAGTGTAAAGAGAATCGTATGGAGAACATACATACTGATGTTAGGATGTAAAGGGTTAAAACCTTTATTTCTTTCTCTTTAGGTACATAGTCTTCTGCGAACAGGATTAAATGGTCTTCAATTAGATGTAAAACTTCCAAAAAAGCGCTGACTGCAGAATATAAATGCTCTTCTCAGGCCCTCTTGTCTTCTGTAGAATGTACTAAGCGTTCACTTGATGCTCTGTAGAACGCGAATAATGGCTTTTTATTACGTGAATTCAGATTGACATTTCGAGATCTGCTTGCGGATTTAAAACATTCAAACCTCCTCGCTTCATTTCAGAACTGGCGGACAACTTTCGGAAGTTTATTGTTTCTTTATTTGTTGTAAAAATTTAAGTGGTGGGGAAAGAGGGAGGGAATACATGTAAGGAAATTTTGATACATGTAAGTGACGTTCTTGAGAACATTTGGATTGAGCAAACTTTTCTAAGTGGTTTCAAGTACATTCTAGCTGGGTAACCGCGATCCGTGGATTTTTAACTCTACAAGAAATGAGGTGTTTTGCTTATGGAGAAAGTTCAGATGAACTGTTTAAGGGTTTTTTTTTAATTATCGACAAACAGTGATGGGCTCCTGTCGACAAACTAATGCAGTAAGCGTAAAACCAAGATGTGAATAATAAGAACGATACATAAAAAGATACTTGTGTTTGTAAATATACGTTTTGCGCTGAAAGGAGTTGGTTTGCTTTGTTTTTAACCTATCCACTGAACGCCAATTCCCATATGAACAATTCGAGTTATTTTTCTTTCGTTTCATTATCTTGTTGCCACGATACGCAAGGCTGCATGCAGAATTAATTCAAACGTTGATCAGACCCTTTGTGCTTCGAAAGGGTATTCAATAAATATGAAAAAGGAAACTGATGTTTTGTTGTAAATACTTATTTATATACTTCTCATAAGTATTACTCCTCTGGATATAAGACGATCGTAAAAATTTCCGCGTATTCTTCGAGATTTCGTACGTATTTATATGCTAAACATTAGAGTAGATAGGTAACAGGTCTAAATAAATACGGAAACATTTTAAAACTTTCAGTACGTTTATTTTCTATCTTCCGTTGAAAGCTTGGTTGAAATACGAGAAGAGAGTGATCGAATTTGTACACCGTCTTCAATTATTTCTCTTATTCAAGGTGTGACCTGTGAATCTCATACCCGCTCGTTTTATAAGGTCATGCGAACACAGCGGTCAAAGGTAGGACATGTACAAGGGATCAATTTTTGCTGGCCGCGCGCCAAATTCCCGCGCAAACTTTCTGAGGAAAATGTTGTCACGTAAAATACGCGAAAGAAAGTTGAAAGAAATCTGGAATAGGAAACAAAAGTATAGAAAATGGAAGCGCCGGACTTTTCGTTTACAAAGCTTATTTAATTACGGGCTTTCTACAGATTTACCATTATGATTTTGTTTTTGAGCTTTATCAAAGCAGTTATACTGTTTTCAAGCACCGCGAATTACTCGTTTGTATGGTTGTGGATAATTCTTTGAATACAAGTTGGCTCTTACAGCCTGAAGCGAAGTTCGCGCATGCTGGCAAACGTTTGACAGTTGAGGGACCGCTGCATGACTCTTCAAAGTGTTGTACCATTGGAAGCCACGCAAAAAAATTGGGAATACATCCAGCTTAAATATCTTCCCGATTATTCCTCTCTCTACTCACTTAATATTACCCATTTACTCCCACTCATGATCTGCCTGCACCGGCAAACGATAATTGCAGGGATTTATTCTAATTAAAAACGATACTCCGCTTCAAGGACAAAAAAAAAAATCTTTCAAAACATTACGAGGTAGCGCCATTTTAACTTGAACTACTCATTCTTTTAACCCCTTAACTCCCAGGTGATTAAAATGTAACTTCTCCCTGTAATATCTATACTTTATACAGCAAACTGGTGATGAGATTACTCAAACGCATCACTCCTGACAGGTAGAAGTTGTAATCATGATCTAACTCCAAATTCTCCTAATTAATTTATAAGGAAATGTATAGCAGCCGGAGGGGAGAAGTAACAATCAGATGTTGAGGAATTAATGGGTTAGCCAGTGGTTATCCATGACAGAACCCTCACCACAATATCGAAGGTAGCTTATGTCCATTCGAGGGAATTTGTAAATGTAAAAATGTTCACACCGACGAACCATGATTTGTTGCCTAAAGTAGCAGCAATCATCGCGCCAATGAAAACAGACTTCTCTGGCCACAGCCCCTTCTGACTGCGTAGGATGACCATTCTTTAACCAGCCAGTGGCGTGTGTGCCACAGTGAAACAACTTCACGCATCGATTTGCCATCTGAAAACCTAAGAATCATAAAACACATTAAGGAGAATTACTTATGAGATCTAGGAGTGCCTGAGAACGTTTCACGACAAATGATCAAAGTCACTCACCCGCGCCGTCTTTGAACCTGTACCATCCAGGAGAGAGGCCAGCGTCAGTCAGAGATACAAAAGGATCGTAGAATCCTTGTGATCTGTCCGCCGAATCCAATAAACCGTGATTCTCGCATTCATCAGGAACTGTGACAAAATACAAAAGGTGGAATAGCAGTGCGTTCACGTTTGAGTGTGCCAACGTTTTAAGTTATGTGTGAAAAGAGTTTCAGTCAACTGAAGATCTTTCGCTGATCATTTGCGCAATTCAAGTTTAAAATTGGATAAGAGGACTTTTATTTCTAAAGCAAGCGATTAGAACGATGAAGCGAGTTGTTGCGTCGGCGCTCATTGCTCATGTGCTTTTTATCAAGTGACCAAGGATATTAATGGTGGTCATTGACCGTTAGAGTCAAGGCAAGCAGTCACAATCAGAGTATCAATTCATAAAAATTTACTTGTCTCGCGGCAAGGAGATTGTAAACCCGCGGAGTTGTAGAGGTGTCAATTTCCAGAGTATACAAATTATTTTAGACATAATCTTAAATAATAATGGCCAAAAGAGTAATGATAAGCCATAAAAGAAACACTGATTACAACCAACAATCGGAAACTTGCTGGAGAGCTCAGGTAGAAACCGTGCGAGTCAAATCGAAGCATTTGGACTCCAATCAGAGGTACTCACTTTCAACAACAACCGGGCGTTTCTCCTCAACAGTTGGAGTTTCCTCATTGACTGTGGGGCGTTCCTCCTCCAGAATATGGGCTTCCTCCGTGACAGCATCCCCGCAATACCGCATGGGACATTCGGGCGGGGGCTCTAAATGGTACACCATGAAGTTCCCACAATTTCTGATTTGGATCATTTTCCACTCCTTACAGCACTCCCCTTCAAGGTGAAAGCATATTCTCCTCATAACCCTCCCATCTTGGGGCATGGGATGGTCCCCATCCAACCATCCGGGTCCGTAAGTACCGCAGTGGAACTTAGGGACACAATTTGTAGGCATCATACGGCCTGCCTGTCGCAAGAACCTGTACCATCCACGTTGTAAATGGTCGTCGCACATCTCGAGAGAGGCATTGTAGTATGTAAAAGTGCGAAAAGGGCCAGACAATTCTTTGTAATCGGTGCATTCGTCCACATTGCTGGCATCCGCAGCTAGCGTAGAATGGGTTGAAAAACAAATTAAAAAATGTGTATAACTTTTTTTTTCCATCTGTAAAAGACTATATAAATTATTTATTTTAAGATCAGGCAACAACGTAGAAGGGCAACGATCGGCAAACAGCAAAAAAAACCGTGCCGTCTGTCAAAGCGGATTTTACGCCAAGTTAAATCAATATTTTCATTAACTGTGAATAAGGTATTTTTACTTCTATCTAAGGATTGTAGGAAAAGCGAGTAAGTCAGAGTTAATTCTTTTTGCCGTTATCATAACACTCATGCTGTGAGTCACCAGGTATCTCATTCATAGGAGTAAATTCGCAGAATAAAACGCACAATTGTATTGAGACAGATGAAAGTTCATTAATGAACAAGAAATTTCAACTCTGAGGCAGTGTGGATAAACACGTGACTTCATAATCGTACAAAACTCTTAAAAATCCTTCTATGTTAAAGAAGAAGACGAACTCTCATTAATGATGATCTCAGTATCTGTTTGAACAACAAAAATTTGTGTATGATTTCATTCACTTCCATTTTTTTATTCTAACATGAAAATGAAATTGAAATGAAAATAGCACTTTCACTTAGGCCTGGTTACCCAGTTAGCATAGGAAATTTAAAGAACGATTATCTTTATTAATCAGGCGGGAGGCGCTCAGCATAAATTACAGAAAACAAAACAGTAATTATGGATGCTACGAAAAAATGCGCCCGCCGAAGAACAAAAATAAATATTTTGTTGATAAAGCCTTGCTTGTGACTGATAGCGAGAAAAATTATTAATAGCTGCACTGAAGAGTTACAGAAAAAATTTGATTAGCTTAGCTGTAAACGTCGTTTACCATATTTGATAAGAAAACGTTTTTAACGTTAAGCATCTCGGTGCCGATGATGTAAAATTTCCATCAACAGGTCAAACTTTGCATTTCAGCACATTTCTCCTTCTTAGTTTCTTTCCAAGTTAAAAAATTCTATGTTATACACCATATAACTCCACGATGTGTTCTGTTCACAGTTCAGTTACAGTTAGACTTCCACTTTCCCGCCAATTGGAAAAGAATGCGTTGCTGCTACATAGAGCCAGGGTTAACATTGAAAATAAACAAGTATTCTGTTTCCAGAATCAACTAAATGCAAATGAAATTCTTGCCAGGTTTTAGAGTTGAGAAATTCAACGAAAGCAAAGAGAAAGATTCCTAAGCAATTTTTAAATGCGCGAGTTGTGTTAAACATGGTAAGCATTTGATTAATTTGTGTAACGATCTTAAGAAAATTGAGTCGGATTCGAATGGTTGACACTTCACCTGTTGTCTGCGAAACACGAATCAAGGATATTTCCTGACTCAGGGTCAGTATTCCAACGGCAACCAGTACAAAATACTTCATGGTTTCAAAGTCGTGCAGCTGATATACATCGCGGCTCTTAGTTAGTTATAAGTGCATCAAAATCGTCATACTTCATTAGGCTTCAATAAATAAACGAGAGTGCAAATTTGCACAGTTCCTCAGCTGTGACGTGACCGCGCTTGTAAGGGAGCACTCAACCAAATAAAACTGTGCTGTTTTCTAAAACTTCGCTGGGTTTCTTTCCACGACATCTTTCGTTTTATCATTTACTTTTGAACGGTGGAAGAAGATGGAAACAAAAGCTTTCACCTATTCCCGGAAATTTTAAATGTGAAAACGTAGAATTGAGGGAGTCTTGTTTTGGCGCGAGATTTTTCGATCACGACACGGTCTGATTAACTTTAATAAATTGTTCCAAATTTTGCGCGCGTTCCTCAGTGAGCACAAATAAATTCGCGTGTCGCAGTCGCATTCAGTTGAGAGGGTGTCTAACTTAGGAATTTGAAGCGAAGATGATCGTTTAAACATAAAATATACATTGGTAAGATAATTACTTTTATGTTATTCTTAGTAAATTCAAGGGAAACTTTTAGCTCAACTTATACACCAGAGGTAATATATGCCGTATATGAATTATTTTAAATACAGATCAAAATTTATGTAAGAAAATTTGAGAGGAAGGGATGGAAGAATTAAAAGTTTGGGTCTTTTGGAAGAATGCATCATTTCGCGAGTTCACTCACCGTCGTGTTATAACAGTTGTGTATGATCTTAAAGCTTCGAGTGCCTTTAGATTGGTAATATGAATAGGTGATTTTAATCAAGTACAGCCAAACGATCTCAACATCATCTTGTCAACAATTATAAATGAGTGATTTGCTCGCATGTTACTGGGCAACGGTAATGATCTCATTTGAATCTGCTCTCCATGCGTTTCACGTGCGACATGCGCTCAGCTTTTCAATAACCAATCATACAGTGAGGTAGAGTCGTATTTCCCTTGGTGCTATCAAACTTTAGGACATGGAAAATAGATATAGCAGGGTCTTGCTGGTGTTTCTTTTAATTTGGTCTTGTCTACCGGTTATTACTCGACAGGAACCTTCATCAGGTGAGACATTTTTAATTTTGCGTCATACAAGCTCGGTATGAATTCATATAACTTAGCCTAAATCAACCTCGTTCAAATATGATTTAAAACTTGATTTAAACAAGTCTGTTCCTTCAAAAAAACGGCTGTTTTGCTCCTTGGTTTGAAAACTTAAAAATGTGCTGATTTTAAAAGTGAAAAAATGAGAAAGGTGATTCCATAACCTTAAAGTAGTTTGCCGAGAGCCAGCCATGGCGTATTTGAGAGCGACTTTTCTCAGAGTACACCTATATTTTAAAAC